AGAACAGTGTTTGTCAAACTGTGGTACGCAAGCTCCTGCGGGTGGTACTTGGACAGCTCTTCAGTTTGTGGGTTTGCCTCATTTTGAGTTCATTTTATCCACTTTTTGTCCTCCTTAGTTGATTTCTTGTTTAGAACTATAATGTTATTGATGTAGTTCACGTTTAGAACTGGTTTGACCCTATATTAGCCCTGGAATACTCCTGTTACATACTTGATTTAGATCTGGTGGTATTCGGAAATAACAGGGCTATCAGGTTTCTTTGTGTAACCGTCTGAATATTGTTCTACATATCAGTCTGGGATAGCCCATGACTAAGTGCAGTGTTATCAGTTAGCATAGTCATAACACCTAAACTCTGCCCACGAGCACGTTTCAAACAGAGCTGATAAACTGGCCAGTATGTAGGACGAAATAAAAGAATGAGAGAGCAGGAGGGGCGGGCTCTGGGCAAATGAGGAACAGTGTGATTGGTCTATTCCATTTCAACCTCCGCCCCCTACATCGAGGCATTTAATAAGAAATGAAATGAAAAGAATCTCCTGGCTGTAATAAGAGCAGTCTTGTGTGATATCACCAACTACACCATAAACTTAGAAATAAGCATTTTTGAGCAGAAAGCTGCAAATATTTGGTTTACACTAAAGTTCACAGTTATAATTCTTAAGTGTGTACTGGAGGAGGTCTGTTTAGTGCAACTGTATACTTGATTTAGATGTGGTGGTGCTCGTAAATGACATGGCTATCAGACTGATATCTGTAACCTACTGTCTGAATAGAGTTCTACACATCAGTCTGGGATGCTCTCGCTGAAAGCTCTGAAGTCATTGATTGGAGCATTCAAACAAATCCATGATGCTGATTGGTCAAAGCATCAGGAGGAGGTATTGCACTGGCTGCTTCTTCACACGCTGATAACATCTCAACACGTGTCAACTGACGGCATCTCTACTAGTGGTGCATTTTATCAAGATTAAATTTACATTGCACAAGTCCAACAGGTCTGGTGACTTTTTCACACAGAGGCACTACCGCAGCTAATACGCCGTTGCCGTGACTACTATCATAACTGCATTGTCAGTCAGATCTGGGATGGAGGGGAGTACAAACCCAAAGAGCAGGTCACAGTACATTAAGATGATCACAGATGAATGCATGTTGGAATTCCATCACTTCACTTACGTCAGATAGAGAAGCAGTATGACCGGAATCCACCATTAAGGTTCAAATTCAGAGGTACCACTTATTAGCAATAATAGTTATATAGTTATAGTTAATAGTTATTAATAGTTTTAATGACTTAAAACAATGCCCAGTGTGTACTACTGTGCAGTCAACACAATCATATCATTTCAGAGATCTGTGACTGTGTTTACATAGAATTCAACCTTCTCGCGCTCACAACAATGGAGACATCAGGGCTAATACAAACCAAGCAGAGCCGTACCCAACTGACCCTGCTGACCTTTAACATGGCCCTTTTTATTTTGAGAGAAGAACTCAGCCTAAAAATGAGGAGTTTGTGTGTTAAACATGTATGAATGAAACAAAACCCAACTCCAGCTCTGTTTATGACGAGGAAATAACATTATAACATAGATCAGTAATATGAGTACTTTAAGAGAGACATGCAGCGACAGAAGCAGCGTTCTCCCTGTGATTCATAAAAACACCAGTGGTCACGTTTGAGGAGGTAAATGTAATTTTGAACATCTCTGACTTACTGTTTGATGTTTGTTACCTTCAAGCCTGGGTAACAAACATCCAGACACTGTTTACAGTTTGAGCTTTGAGCCATGACATGTGTTCATATTTATCTTCTGATTCCATTGATTGAATGCACTTAAAAGGTCATGAGGAATAAACGGACAGGACCTAGCTTTTCAGGTCCAGTGAGACCCATCCATGTACTTTCCCTTAGCGTGGTTGTCGAGGTGTGTGGCACAGGCGTGCACTCCTCTGCTGCGGCACTGCGGATATACGTTCTTGAAAACTGCGAATATTGGATTAAAAGACAATTCTCTTCTGACCTATGGCAGGATTCTGACCATTGTGCGGAGGGCAATGGGCTACAGTAAATAAGTCCAACGGATGAAAGACTATGGTTGGGCGCGCAGGGACAATAGACATGAAAGGGGTGCTGTGATGAACTTTGAAATCTATGTTGCACTAAGTGGTCTAATATAATTTCAAGTCAACACAGCCTTTGTGTTTTTTTCTGTTTAATTTATTACAAACCGATTAATTATAAATGCAACAGTTTTACAGAACAATCTGTTACACCACAGGTGTCAAACATAAGGCCCTGGGAACAGATCCGGCCCTCCAAGAACTTTAATGTGGCCCTCGGCTGATTTTCTACTAAAATATTAAAATTATATTTTCTATTAAAATATTGTTAATTTTCTGCGTTTTTTTATCACAGCAGCGTCTCCAGCGTCTCTGTACGTGGCCCCTCCCACCAGAGCAGCACAAATGAAGACTTGTCTCTTTCCAAACGCTCTTAAAGGACGATCGTTTTGACTGTTGACCGTGACACCCTCATCAGAAAAATGTCCAACATGAGAAAAGTGGAGCCGAGTGCAGGATTTTCCAATAAAAAAAATGACTTATTAAGTTCATGTTAAAACATTGTGTTGAAATTGCATTTTTCTTAAAGTTTCAGGTTGTTCATAATATTAATTATATTTTATTAATAATATTAATAATATTTTGTAAAAGAAAAAATTCATCAATTAAAAAAGATTTCTGTAACAGATTTGTGTTTCTCTGCACAAATATTTGAACTTATTGTTATTTTTGGGGTTTATATGACATGAGTTTTCTGATCCGGCCCCTTTGGGATCAAAGTAGGTTGGATACGGCCCCCGGACCAAAATGAGTTTGACACCCCTGTGTTACACAAATAATACTTTATTTTGATTGTTAATCTCCTGCACCCTGTGTTACAACATCTGACACTGAAAATAAATTACAGTTAGTTAAAGCTAACAAGGTTAGAAGCATGGATCTATGGTTATAACTGTGACAGAAAGTGTATGAGGAAGGGTGAGGTAAGAAGCTAGGCTAGGTTGCATTAGCGGTGAGAGTTGGTGAGATATTACACACTGGGATTCCTATATTATGCTATTAATAGATATTTGATTCAATTTGAGGTTAAACATACAGTTTTGAAAGGTAACTGTCTCTTGTTTGATGAATAAGGAACAAAAACAAAGCTAGAAATCATCTGTGTAGTTTCTGGTTGGACGCAGAAGTGTATGTTTCTACCTTCATCGGGCATTCAAACTGCTTGGCACCAAGTCACCACATATTCTCAAACCCACGGATAGAGGAGGAAAGTGTCTTGCCCAAGGACACGTGGCAGTATGAACTCAGTGGTGCTACTTGCGGGAGGTGCATCAACACAAACTGGACACAATTACTAGTATGTTTCCATGCACAGGGAGCTCAGAGTGCGCTAAACAATCACATTCAAATCATCTTTGCCCCAAAACCAGACCACTCTAGTCTCAATCTACATGACGGTCAAAGAACTGAACAAGGGGATACGAGACGTTCAGGTGCATCTAGTAAATTAGCATTACCAATAATAATAATAATATTAATAGTTACACATAAAAACGACTACCATACATACAACCACGCTTTGGGCAGATATAGATAAGCATCTCATGTGTGTTAAAGGTGCAGTATGTGTCTTTTTGGTTGTGGATCTGTAACCTGCTTGTTTCTATGAATATGTATGCATAGAATCTATCTTACGCTATGGCATGTCAACATGGTTTGGTAACCTCTCAGTCAAACTTAAAGCACAGATTTTTACCTTGACTAAAAGAGCAGGTAAAATAATGGGTGTGGCCCCAAGCTCACTTCAGCAAATTTTTGAGGAGACTGTTAGGAAGCTCAGCAGGAAGGTGATCAATGACCCAACCCATGTTCTTCACAGTCAGTTTGAGTTGATGCCATCAGGCAGAAGGTTCAGGGTCCCAAACTGTAAACTGAACAGATTCAAACATTCTTTTGTACCACTAGCTGTTAAACTGCTTAACTCAGATAATGCAGTCAAAAAATAATTATAAAAGGCTTAGGGATTGTGCAATCAAAACTGCACATTGGTGTAGGGAATGTGCAATAATTATATCTAAAACTGCACATAGGTGTAGGGAATGTGCAATTAAAGCTACACATAGGCTTAAGGAATGTGCAATAATTAAATCTGCACATAGGCTAAGGGAATGTGCAATAATTATAACTAAAACTGCACATAGGCTTAGGGAATGTGCAATCAAAACTGCACATAGGCTTAGGGAATGTGCAATCAAAACTGCACATAGGCTTAGGGAATGTGCAATAATTATAACTAAAACTGCACATAGGCTTAGGGAATGTGCAATAATTAATAGAACAGAAGAATGCAAGGGCCTGTTAAGGATAATTTAAGGGTCGTGTTGGTGCATCACTCGTGGTCATACTGGTCTCATATTTACTTTGTTTTATGGTGTTTGTTTATGTGCTGCTTTGTGTTGTGTTGTCCTGTTTTTTTTGATAAAACATGTTACCCCCTGTCCCAAGACAAATTTCTCCCATGGGAGACAATAAAGGATTATCTTATCTTATGTCATTGCTCTGTTTAGAATGTTCCTTATAGTATTAACATTACATTAAACTCTTCTTCTAAATAGTTTTATAGCTCAAAAATTCCTGGAAAAACACGCATTCTGTCTATGAGCAGGGTTGCCTTTCCACAGATCTGACCTGTAAATTGGTCTGGTTTGTTCTCCCAAAAGATTTATTTTTTAAAAGAAAGGTTTAATACCATACTGTGAAACATTCCAGACAAAGAAATACCATCTCTATGGAGAAAAGCATTTGACAGACCCTCCACCAAAAACGTTACACAATGCACCTTTAAGTAGAGCACTTATTGAATATAGTCCATATGGTCATTATAGTGACAGGTCTAGATAATACAAATGAAAATAAAATAAGTGACTTACAACATCCTGGAGATGCAACTGGTGAGCGTGCCCAGGCTCCGGGAGTGTTTGAGTTTGCGGTGAGACTCTGAGAACAGGGGGTCCTCTGGGGCTCCATCACAGGGCCCCTCACTCTCCAGAGCTGTGCCCAGGTCCGGGAGCCTGTCTCTGGGTGTGAGCTCATCCGAGCTGAGGTGGGGCGGTCTGCAGGAGAGCCGGGGCAGGTGGAGACGCCCTGACATGAGTCTCTTTACAGCACACGCCAGGCCCGGGGTATGATGGTGCTCCAGATACAGGGCCTCCTCTACCCACTCTCTCTGTACACAACAGGAGAGGAGAGAGAGGGGGGCACAGTTAATGTTGTACTTATAAATATAAATTCACTTTTTCAATACTAAACGGTATATTTGTGTGTGTGTGTGTGTGTGTACATGTGTTTTAACAGTATTATCTACTGTTTCTAGCCTTTGTTGTTGGTGTTTTTCCAACTTTCTGGTTAAAAAAGCTTAAATTTAAGCTTGTGGTGCCTTTAGTGGCCATTTTAATTTCCAGTAGTTGGTGACATCACCAAAGGCTGCCCAGACTAATGGTGCATTTGATTATCCATCCGACTTTGTTTTCATTGTGTTTGGACACTTTGGTGGTTTAAATGACAATTTCAGTCACTCATATTACTACAATACCTTACTGCGTCCGTATCACTGTCTATGGGTATGGTAGTATTACTGCAGTACTTTACTGCGTCCGTATCACTGTCTATAAGTATGGTGGTCGGTGCTGTGGTGAGGCCAATTGAACAAAGACTTGTTTTAAATGGGTGCTGCTAAAAGTCCCGAGGGTTGCTAACAGGTGATAAACAACAATAAGAGCTTTCCAGGTGGTGTCCACGTTTTTCTCCAAGTCGGACACATGAAACATAATAAAACACTTGAAGTGTGGATGTGATGTCATATCCAAGATCTGAGTGGGAGACGGATGGATAATCAAACGCACCATAAAGCCTGGAGTTTCTGATACAAACACCTGGCTTGAAGTGGAGATACCTGTTCGATCAATCACACTGTTCCTTAAACCTCCAGACCCCGCTCCTCCTCCCTCCTCATTCCTCGATTTAGTCCTCCAGACCCCGCACTCCTTCCCCTCACTCTCCCCTTCAGACCTCCAGGTACTGCCCAGTTTAGCAGCTCTGTCTGAAATGTGGTTGTGGGCAGAATTTAGCTCTTTACTCCCACTTTAGGACATAGACATATGAACACCACAGATTTTAAATTATCCAGTTATCTAGTTAAGTCAGGATGAGAATATATATTTTTAGTGCATGAATGTGTGGTGGGACTAGCTGTGAAAGTCTTGTTCTGGTGTATTTGATCAGATAACAGATCCTGAGTCTCACCTTGTACAGTGTGAGTGTTGGCTCACGGCTCACAGGACACAGAACAAAGACAAACCTGTGACCTTATCTCTGCATCTCTCTCAAGTCAATTACCACCTTTATCTGCCATTGTCTGCACAGCCAATGGGACCACTTCAAAGGACACAACCAAGAACGAGAGGTCTAAAAGTGGACAACATCACGTTATTTTTACTTGTACATTTATGTAATTATTGATTGATTGATTTTTTCCATTTCAAGTTTGTGCCAAGAGATAAAAATAATCATATACATACAATATATCTTACAGAAAAAGCACACTTCTTTGAGTTGGAGTGGGAAGAGGAAAACTTAAGTGCTTTGTGTTGCATTTTTGTATAAAAAGCGCTCTAAATAAAGTTTTGATTTGATTTGATTAACTCACCCCTAATGTATGCCTTACCGACACCAGACTCTTGCTATTTTTGCTACTTTTTTAGAATTTATTATAATATATTGTGATGTGTCCAAATAATTTCCCTTGTGGATCATTAAAATCTGTCTAAGTTTTCTGGTGGAGGCTCCTTCACTTGCTTGTCTCCATGGAGATGTTAGTGCTTTGCCTGGAATGTTCCATAGTTTGACATTAAACACATCTAGAATTTATTCAGTATGGGTGTTTCTATTGCTCAAAAATACAATCATTCTCTTTGTGAATAGAGTTGCCATTCCACAGATCTGACCTGTAATGTAGCCTATAGTCGTTTCTCTTGAGAAAGATTTAATCTCCATGGAGACAAGCAGGTGACAGACTCTCCACCAGAAAAGTTGCACAATGCATCTTTAACAAGCTTCTGCAGCAAATGTTTAAGTAGTTTAATATAGATACATTTTACATGATTTTAAAGACATGTATGAGCATTGACTCGCCTTTTGGAACATTCTGTTTGTAGAAGTCAAAGACAGGATTTATAGTCTACATACACTACAAGTCAAAAGTTTGGACAGGCTTCTCATCCAATGGTTTTCTCTGTATGTTTACCAGTCCCTACATCTTATATACATAAGGAAAACCAAATATTTGAAGCAAGATATATGGAATTATATAGCAAAGAAAAAGAAATTAAAATAAAAATCACCCTTTCCTTTGCACTGCAAAACCTTGGCCTTCTGTTAGTGAGTTTCATGATGAAGTCTCCTGAAATGTTTTTTGTTTACTGCATTCCTACAATGTAAATAATCATGGAAATAAAGAAGAAACACAAAAGAAAAATTGTGTCCAAACTTTTCACTGGTAGTGTAAATATCCAATGGAGACAGCAGTACAATGACATAAAGGTACACTATGTAACTTTTCTGGTGGAGGGTCCATCAAAACATTTTCTCAATGGAGAATGTAAAGCAGAAAACATCCCAAGCAGAGCAATATAAATAAATATTACACATATTTGTAGTATTTTCAGTTTACCTGGTGTGGCGATTCAAATTGAGATTTCAAATTCAAATTAGAGTAAAAAAATTGTAAAAAAACAAAACAAAACAAAAAATAAGAGATTGTGAACTATTTTGATCTTCATTATACTTGCACTTAAGATATACAGGCTTTCTAGAGTTAAATTCATCATTGGAAATTACTGTACATTTACATTTACAAAACAGTTATGAAATGAGTAAAAAGATGAGCACCATTCATGTTTATCTGAGATTCCTTTGTAACTTCTCTTTGTCTTCGTCTTTCTCATTTTGTAAGTTGGACATAGTTGACACTAAAACATATATTGACTTATTTTGATTTACCATAAAATTGGCCTTTAGCACAGTTCTACTTAAACCAGAGCCAACCACAACAAACACCTGCTCCTCCTAATTCATATCATTTATGTTCTGAATGTTAATGTTGACACCATCTCAAATCAAAAGACATCAAACAGTCCGCTTGGGAAAAAAAAACTACAATGAAAGTCTAGGGTTAAAATTAGTCTTACCTCTGCGTGAGTGAAGATTTTAGAGTTGCTTCTCCTCATATTTTAAGCTGTGGTTATGTCAACAAGACAACAGAGGAAATGCCACAGCGCAGGACACAGGAACCAGGTTTGAGATCAGATATGTCTTTCCACGCCTCCCATTAGCCACCATGCTCTGCTCATCTCATTAAAGAGTACAATTTTAAGTACAGTCTACTCACGAGAGCTACATTTAATGGCAGAGAAGCAAAAAATTAAGCTTTACAGCCCACTTAAAGAAGAAATATTATGCCAAATTGGTTGTAATGAAACTTTAACTCTATTATGTTTTTTTTAGCATAATAAAAGCTAAAGATGCATCTAAAAAATACTTTTTGATGACAAAGTTTAAGTTAAACCTCAAATTATAACAAAAACACATCCAGCTTTTCTTCTGTTTTCTGCTGATGCATCAAGGTGGCACATTTTTCTTCCAAACACAGTTATGGCAATCAAAAGTCACTTTCTATGAGTGGCCACATTCACAAATGCAGATTTTGTCTATGTATTTTTCACATCAGGTTAGCAGTAGTATGTATGGCATTAAACCTTTCCATCTTCATGGAAACCAAACCAGACCCAGTTACAGGTCAGATCTGTGGAGAGGCGACCCCGCTCACAATGTCTGTTTTTCTAGGTATATTTGAGCTATAAAACCATGTGTAATTGAATAAATGTAACATAGAGCTGTTTAATGTGATACTGTGGAACATTCCAGGCAGAGCAATGACATCTCCACAGAAACAAGCAGTGATGGACCCACCAAAAAGTTACAAAGTGTACCTATAAGGTTAGGGTTATGATCAGGGTTAGGTTTGGGAACAGGCAAGTTTAGTGTTTTGTGATAGATTTGCTAATTATGTCTTGGAAAAACTGAGCTGTAACTTTCTAAAGTAAATTATATTAAAAAAAAACTCAAATTAGAAGAAAAGCTGGATGTGTTTTTGTTATAATTTGAGGTCTAAATTAAAAACTGTCAATGTCACTGAACCTTAATATTTGCTTTATTTCCATCTACTGAAAATGAAATTAATTCTCGACAGTAAATACAGCAGCAGCGTTTTAGTTGGCTTTGCTACACCCTGCCCTCAATCCAATCACCGAATCACATAAAACACTGAAAGCTGTTATGGCTCCATCTAGAGGTCAACATAGACACTGCATGCATAATGGGTGAATGAACTTTTGAATGGCACCTTTTTCTCTTTCTTTTCTCTCTGTTGCTCCTCTCTAGCTCTCCCTTTGTTTTCTTCTCCCTTTTCCTGAATTTTTCCTGACAATTAAATATGCCTAAAAAAGGAAGATACATTTTACTTTAAAGATGACACCAAACAAGTTTATAAATATAAAGTAAGGCACAGGCATTTTAACAAAAAAAAAACAACACAAACACCAATCAAAACAATATCCCCTGAGTAAGTCTCCACACCTCCACAGTACAGTATTTTAAATGGATTTTCTTCTCATTTGGTAGTGTTTCCTCATCCACAGACTGCAGGTTTGGGGCCCTTTAAGAAGACATTTAAAGCTTGTTAAATACTGAATTTCTTTGGGAAATGCCATATAAACTACTATTGATATTTTGCAGTGACATCACATTGGGGGTGTTCTGTGTGTCTGTCTATGGCGAAATATTCAGCAGTACACAAAACAAACACTGCCAAACATGTTTTAAAATAGTCTGAAAACTCAAGAAAAATTACAAAATGGATTTAAAAAACACATTTTCCAGAGCCTGTGAGTTTGATTTTCAACAAAAAAGGTGAGACTGACTAAATGAAAAACTGTTGGCTAATCGTAGCAAACTTCAAACTGTAATGTTATTTGAAAAGGACTCGTTTAACAGCACAAAAATCAGTTGACCTACTGTAGCTACACCTTGTGTCAGTTCTTTATGGTCAGACTATGTTAAAACAAAGCTCAGATTAAAGTCTAACTGGAGTACAGAGCCTCAGACAGAGCAGTACCTTCATTTAGTGTCACACCCTCAAAAAATGTAGATGACATCAGCTGCAAAGTATGAATAAAAATACTTAGCGTATGTGTACTCTGACATTACCGTGTACATGCTGCATACAAGAGACACAAGTGAAGACATGGCTTTCTCCTGTAGATCGTCTGTGTGAACCTGGAAGTTTAATCACAACATGTAGTTTAGACTTTTTACATTTTAGGTTGAAATAGAAATTAAAAGGTCAGAAAGGAAAGATTTCTCTTTTACCTGCTCGACTAGTTTCAGCTCTAGTTTTGGCTATCATGTAACACTTTATATACAGATTTGGAAGATGGTAAAATGAAAGCTTTTCTTTCAGCCGAGTTCCTTTCAGCTTTTTGCCAGAGGATTTGTTAAAAAGGTGCATTGTGGAACTTTCCTGGTGGAGGGTCCGTCACCTGCTTTTCTCCATGGAGATGTTATTGCTTTGTTTGAAATGTTTCACAGTATGGCATTAAAGCTTTCTATCTTCATGGAGACCAAAACAGACCGAGTTACAAGTCAGATCTGTGGAGAGGCGACCCTGTCTCCCTGCTCACTTTCACAATGCCTTTTGTTATAGGTATTTTTGAACAGAGCTGTTTAATGTCATACTGTGTATTTTAGTAAGAGCAATGACACATCCAAAGAAACAAGCAGGTGACAGACCGCCAGCCAAAACACAGTGCCCCTTTAAGAACTAGAGAGAATTCGAGTCTTACCCCATTGATGGTGATCCAGGGCACAAAAGTGTGAGGAGGCTGCAAGGCTTTGGTCTTGAGGGCATTTTGATGCATGAGCTTATTGCCCAAATCTCCGTTCACACAACTCATCACTTCCTCCCAGCTCACCTGTGGCGCGTACAACTCCACACACTGCACACAACAACACACCAAGAGGATCAAGGCACATTTTCTATACATCACAGGAGAAGCAGTAATCAAGAATGTAAGTCAAGACTAGGGTTGTAAAAGAAATTTGAAAATCAGATCCTAATCAAAGTATTGATACTGAAAAAAAAAGTCCCATTGAAAGGACACAAATTAAGCTTTCCTGAATGTTTTAGAATAATGTGGAGCTGGATCAGAACAAGTGTCAGAGCACATAGACTAATACACACATGGACCAACATGAGCCTACTGCACCACTGATGATTACACACATGTAAGACATATGGAATAGAAAAGAAAGTTCTATTATTTAATGTTGAAAATCACATTCTGTTGTCACTACATTGTGTTTTTTATCATCGTGGTATTAGAATTGATACTGAATATGACGTCTCTTTGTCACAGCACTAGTCAGGACAGCAGAGATTTTTAGATGCGTCATTTCACCTTTTAGATGATATTTACCACATGTAGAAATTTGAAATGTGGTTGGTGTTTCAATTTTTGGGGACACATTTACACAATTTTATACAATTTTACACTATTCTACTCAAAACCCACAGATTTTCTTACCAACTTGCCAGCCTCAATCACATCTGAAGCGGCCTCCATGCAGAAGATGATGATGAAGGCTTTGCTCTGAATCATGTTCAGTAAACAGGACTGAAGTTTAAAAAAAATATTAGTAGAGTTCAAACATCAACACATCAGTTTACTTTAAATAAACCATTTATAAACAAATTCTCAGCGCTCACTGTGGAACGTACCTGGATCATGTTGCCCTGACACTCCTGCTCTCCATGCTGACACGTGAACACATACTTCTGTCCATCAAATTTTTCCTGGAAACAAACGTTCACTTCAGTATCATGGTAAATGGTCAATGGTCACTCAAAGCGCTCTACATCGAAGAACCACTCACCCATTCACACACACATTCACACATGCTGAGAGTGGGATTTGAAAAAACAAATGTTCTACTAACCGAGATGCTGTCACCCGCAAATAAGTGAAAAATAAGTTCAAAATTGTTAAAAGTTAAATAAAACTAACACAAAAAAAATCAAAGTTCAATTTATATATATATATATATATATATATATATATATATATATATATATATATATATATATATATATATATATATATAATTTTACAAAACTGTAAAATTGAAACAGAGGTAAAAAAGTAAGTACAATAATGTTACTTCAGAATAAAATGAATGTTGAAAGCAACGGTCCAAGAAAGTAAAAAAATATTTGGGAAAACTACTACTCAAGACTGCCTTCAGAAATAACTCAAGAATCTGATTTATAATTTGAAGTTAATTTAATGTGCAAAAATAATGCACAAAATCTGGTATTTTCAAGGAAAAAAATAAATAAAAAAATCAACATTATATCTGAAGGAGCAGTGCAAGAAACACAAAAGGTCAAATCATTTCATATTGACATATAAAGCATTTGCATCTTGTAGATTTACTCAGTAACAACCTGAGCGTTGCCGTAGGGAATCACAGTCAGGTCCATGATGTCTTGGAGCAGCACAGAGGACGGGTACAGCATGAGGGTGATGAACTCTCTACAGTCTGGACACAGACTCTCAACATACACCTCCACCTTCACTGGGTCTGCCGCCTGCTGCTGTCTGGTGTGGTTAGTTTTCAGACAATGCTTCAAAACCTACAGGTAAAAACACACATCTCTTTTATATGGCAGATTGCAATTTTTGGAATATTTCTTTAGGTAAGTGAGATGGGTCAATATTTCGTACACAAGATCTGATACGAGATTGTGCACACATGAGAAAAATCTGTATTTCAGTGCTGGTGAGTTGCTAATGACAACAAAAACAATATTAACAACATTTTTTAAAAATGTAAACCGCACAATTTATTTACTAACTTTTTTTTACAGTATTGGCTTGAATTATTTCCTCATACAAATTCCTAGTTCCTTGTGTTCAACAAGTCTATCAAACTTAAAAATGAAAATCACTCTATTTTTGTAACAGATAACCCCACCTAAAATATATATAAATAATTTAAAAAATCTTATGAGTAAAATTGGTTGATGATGCTAAGTTAAGTGTGACAAAATATACTTTAAATGGTAACTACATGTACGGAAGGATATGATGAAGCTAAATGCTGCTAACCGTGTAATTCATTTAATCTAACTGTGTAACTGTCTTAATCATGAATATTACCTCAAAGTATTAATCAACTAGTTTGGCTCCTTAAAAACAATAGTAGACTTGTACCTAAAAATCAGAAGTGGGACCAAGTTGTTGTCTTGCAAGTCTCAAGTAAATCTCCAGTCTCTGAGCTCAAGTCTGAGTCAAGTCCAAGTCAAGTCCAAGTCAAGTCCAAGTCAAGTCCAAGTCAAGTCCAAGTCAAGTCCAAGTCAAGTCGTCTGCTTTTCAAATCTTTAAAGTTTAAAGATTTGAAATGACTTAAAGATTTAAAGTTTAGTTTTTTGTCTTGTCAAAACCTTAGTGTGAATCATTACAGTCAGAACAGATATAATTCAGATTTAAAAGTGCTTAAAAACAAGTATTTTGTCATATAGTCTGCATTGAAATAATGACTCAAGTCTGACTCGAGTCCAAGTCACGACTTACAAGTCCCATCCTGTGCTAAAAACACTTGTGTGGAGTTATTTCCTAAGTGTAACTACAAAGAGTCTAGATTTAAAAGGCAGCGCGGTCTGCGGAAAATATGAATATTACCCGATATTAAATTAAAGTACACTGGCCCATTAAAAGCATAGTTGTAGAGATGACAGATTTTATTTTTCATATTTTTTGAAATAATAAAGTTTGAAATGAGTCACCCCACAGCGGAGCGCGGTCTCCACAGAGGAGCACCAGGTGGACGGGACACAGGGAGACTCTCCTCTGCCCGGCTCACAGTTCACCCACACGGCCACAAGCAACAACAGCAGCAGCAGCAGCGCCTTCATCTTGTGTCAGGACGAGGGAAACATGTAAACTAGTCCCAAAGTTGATTTGATGTGAGGTAAAACCATAACAGAGACTTTTTCTCCCGCCGCCACTTCCTCAAGCGCGGGCTTTCTGATTGGACATTCAGGTCACGTGCGAGTGCCAACATGTGACTGATGAATGTCACGTGCTACAAAGTTAGTTCTATTATTAAGGCACTTTTCAGTTTATTACAACATCTGTAACCCTTTATGACCTGCCATAGAAAGAGTGTCATTTTAGGACTATTAAATGATCTTATACTCAATCCTTGCACTTCAGATCTTCAATATTTTACAAATAAGACCCTATTCAATATTTACAGTAATTAAAAGGCCCAATAAAATGACCAAAAAATGAAATATGATGTATTTTCCCCAAATCCTGAATTTCCAGTAAAAAATCAGGGGTGGGCATTTTTTTAGTCCATGCATGAGGTGAAATGATAAATTACCTTATAAGCTCAAAGTTGTAAATGGTTAAGATTTTCAGATTTATTTTTTAAACTAGATAAAAGTGAATTGCTTACTTTTTGAGATGCAGATGTTTTCAGAATATTTAAAAAGCAAAAGATTTAATTTGAAAAATTAGCCAACAGAAAACATTGCAGAAAGAGGTCATGAAGATTATTTTTAAAAGAATTCTGCCCAGTTTTATGTGCAAAAAATAATTATTGACCTATTTTTCTTAGCGTTTTCTTTAAGTTGCTAAACAATATACTTCTGTATGTGATGTAGAACGTCCATATTATGTTTTGTTAACTATTGTTGTATGTTGATATTTGCACTAAAAATGTACCCAATGTGTATCACTCAGAACTAGAAAAAGAAAACACAAATGACTTGAAACCTGATGAATGAGTAATTTATGTATATTAAAAATTGTATCATTGTTGGTATTAAAAATACATTGTTTATACAGTATACGATTCCCTTTGGTCCATATTCTAATGGCTGAGGTAGAACTTTCTGCTACTCTTCACTTTCGGCTGTAGCTTTTGAAACGTCTCCCCTTTCCTCCACACATAGCAGGCTTCTCCCCCTAAAACACACAATACATTTGGTCAATAAATACTTTGAATACAATGAAAAAGTACCATATGAAGTAAATGAGTAGTAAATCTGAGAGTACCTGGTACATGCTACACGCAAGAGGCCCAAGAGCAGAGAAGGCTTGGTCCTGGAGCTCCTCTGTGTGAACCTGGAAGAACAATTAGAATCAGATAGGGAATAAAAAGGAAAGACTGGATAGATCAGTAGAAAGAGAAACTTTATTAATCCAGAAGACAAAGCGGCCAGTTGCTTTCATACAGAAAACATCCATCATCAGATAAAAAAGAAATCACTAAAACACCATAAAACTATTCAACTATTGTAAACTATATATATGTATGTCCCAAAATGCATTGCCCTGTGCCACCTTGTGATGTCATGAAGCTAGTTTTCAAGTTAACAGCCACTTTTTACCTTTCGTTTAGCAGAGATTGGCAATTCCAGGGCTGAAATTATCCAAATGATTCTAGAGAAGATGTATGGAGAAAACACAGTGGAGCACTTCCTGTATCACCATGACATCACAAGGTGGAACAGAGTGTTTTCTGCTAGAGAGAAGAACTCATCCTAAATATGCTGAGTGTAAATATGTTGGATTTTGTGTTAAACATGTGAATGAAACAAAACACAACTCCAGGCCTGTTTGTGATGAAAAAACAACATTCTAACAGAGATGAGGAGTAATATGGGCCCTTTAAGTTTTCTGTTGTGCTCTTCTGCTGTCTGCTCCATCTTTGTGTCATGGTGCTCTGTTCTGTTTAGACCTCAACATAAACAAAACAAAGGACATGATTGTGACATTTTCAAACAGTAGAGACAGTTTGCAGAGGAGCTCTCGTCCATCATCCTGGTCGAGCCTGTGGAGGTAGTTCTAGAGAATAAATATCTCTGAACTATCTTTGATGAACTGCTCAAACTCTCATCAAACACTGAAGAGCTCTTGAAAAAAAGGCACCAGAGGCAGTACCTTTTAAGGAAATTAGTCATTCTCATTCAGTCATTAGTCATCTTTGTGCTCATAGACTGTATAAAGAAGTGGACTATGCAAGTGTGATGTCACCCACAGCGTCAAATGAAGCTCGCGACGCTAATGGTTAAGGGCAAATTTGGGCTCGGGCTCCATCTTAGACAAAATAGCTAAATATAAAAACTGGATCATATAGAGCGGATTAATATGCAAATTTTTAAACCATAATGACGAGGCTCACAGCAGCAGGTACAAGTGGGGCGACAATATTCCAATGAAGTCAATGGAAGCCAGGGTCAGTAGGAGTCGGAAGCGCCACACATACACTTCCTGTTGGTGGCTAGCGCGTTAGATATATATGTCCATTTATATATACAGTCTATGTTTGGGCTTTATCGAGAACATTCTGTCCTTTGTATGCAGGTGTTGGCTCTGCTCAGTCAGTGTTCACAGTGTCACAGTTGATCACAGTTAGATCACTCTCAGCTCTGTGACCAGGCCCTGAGAGAGGCCCCCAGGATCGTTAGGGCCCTCTCATGTTCTGTGCTCGGTGTTTGAGTGCTGGGCACAGTTTGAGCTGTGTGGGCTGTTAGGACACAAAGGAGGAAGACCATCTTTTGTCCCTGTCGTCTCAGCTCTAATATTACACCATATTTCTGATCTCTGTTCTAATGTGGTTTCCTCATCACAAACATATCTGGAGTTGTGTTTTGTTTCATTCACACATGTTTAACACACAAACTCGGCATATTTAGGCTGAGTTCTTCTCTCAAGCAGAAAACCTTGTGATGTCATATGGTAATACAGAAAGTGCTCCACTGTGTTTTTAAATGCCACACACCTTCGCTTGACTCATATGAATCATTTCAGCCCTGGAATTGCCAAATTCAATATAAAATAAAATAGGTAAAAGTTGTTAACTTGAAAAGTATCACTTCATGACATCACAAGGTGGGACAGAGGATTTTGAGTTTTGGAGAGATAGACAAATTAATAATAAAGGCTCACTAAAACATGTAGCAGCTCCATGTATGTTTTTGAGGAGGTACGAGCATTATAACATGGCTTAAAGCTCACATGAGTACATTAGTGTAATATAGGACCTTTGATAGTACTAATAGTATATGATCTTACTCCGTTGATAGTGATCCAGGGCACGTATGTGTGAGGGGGCTTCAGTGCCTGGGTCTTCAGGGCGTTCTGGTGCATGATCTGGTTTCCCAAGTCTCCATTCACACATTTCATCAGACGCTCCCAAGACAGGTCAGGAGCGAACAGGTCCACACACTGAAAACAAGCAACAAAACAGAGGAATCTAATTTCCACAAGACGAGACAAGATATAAGACTGGGTCCATGAGACAAGATGAGATTTTAGCATCATTCCTAATAGATAAATTTCATGATTCAGTTTCCAATTTTGGCCACACATTTTTTAATTTATTTGATTTCATATATTTGATTCCATTCTAGTGCTGCTTTTGGAACTGTAAGAGAAAAAAAAAAGCTCACAAGATCCTTTTTCTCTTGTGTGCATGATTTTGGCAGTTTTTTCTCATGAGATTTTGTGGCACAAGATTTTGTACCATTCCTAATAAATCATTAAATCTACAGTAATGAGATAAGAATTCTGATATGAACTGTACATTTGAGAATTGCTTACAGTTTGCTCTGTGATTTGTATCTTCTGTTCTAGATGAATTCATAATAAAAAAAAATAAAAAGGAACAAAAGAGGGTAACTAATAGTTTTACTTTTTTGACTATTAGTGTTAAAGATTCAGTATAGATCCATTTTCTGGCACAGATATTGTCAAACTTTAGTCAAAATTAAAATGCAGGGTTGGTACCGAATGGGCAGCCTTCGCAGCGTCATTGGAAGCCTCCATGCAGAAGATGGGGAGATACGCATCAGAGCCGGTCAGGTTCAGCAAACAGGCCTATGTCAAGAAAGAACATTTAAAATACTGAGCAGGATTTAAACCCTGAGTGGAGAACTGGTCTGAAAACTGTACCTCTATCATGTTCCCCACACACTCCTCCTCTCCGTGCTGGCATTTAAAAATATATTTCTTTCCATCAAAGGACTCCTGAAAGAAAAACACCATTATCAATAAAGTTATATTATATCATAAGAAACATCAGGAAGTCAAAACATCCATGTCCAAAATGAGGTGTGATTGGTTTAGTAAGTGTAAGTGTTTATCTGTAAGGATCCCTGGTCAAGAAGGGCATTTTATCTCTAAACAAAAGCCAATAGAAGTGTTGCACTTTGACACGAACACATAAATAAAGTAATTAAAGAGCTCCCTCTGCTGGACGAGTTGTGACGTGTTGTCTCCTGCACAGGCAGACCTGCTGAAAGTGCTGCTGCTGATGAGGCAGGTCTGCCAGGGAACGTGCCTCTACACGCCCAACTCAAAACAATTATGTATCTCACCCACAGGATTGGAAGAAGTGCACGCAAAATAAACTAAAAACACTTTTTATGCTATATACTCTTTATTAACACGAAAGAGCAGCTGCCTCACAAACATGTGGACACTAGGCTTGTGTTTCTACCATATCATCAAACCAAAGCCATTAATACACAATATTTAATCACTTTTCAGAATTAAACTCTTTTTTGTTGTCTTTTTGGTTTTGGAAAACTGATGAATAAATTGTAACTGTTTACTTTCACTTAAGTAATAGTGTTATTCTGTCAGGGTCAACTAACTAATTGTTACTAATAGTTTGTTTTACTTCAGCCTAAACCAGAGCTCTCCAACCTGTAGCTCGGGAGTTACCAGTAGTTCTCCACCCCCTTCCAAGTAGCTCGCCAAGGGATTTCTGAATTCTATATACAGTAGACAATAAGTCAAATTTGATTATTTACTGATTAATTAATTATAAATATATCATTCTGACACCTAACTTTGTGCACTGATAAATGGATAATGGTTTATGTTTTATAAGCATTTAACTGTTCCCCAAGTCTTGCTGTGGCTTATATTTTATATTATAGTTTCTTTGCGACTCCTCAAATTGGTCAGTCTCTGGCATTTTTTAGACCCCTGGTTTATAGGCATCTAACTGTACAACATTTAAGGCTTGCCCTCTTATATCAGCTCAATTTCTCGCAACTGCTAGAATGAGTAGCTCGCTGACATAGTAAAGGTAGCTCACTGTACGCAAAAGGTTGGAGACGTCTGGCCTAAACCCTTTCAGTCATGTCATGATCCAGATGGGGTCGTGGGGGTGTTAAAAGCCAGTGCATACAAATGAGTTTTCAAAAAGACTACTATTACTACTTTTGTGATTCATGATTTAGACAAGTGATTGGAGCAAAAACTGCACTCAAGAGCCATACCTGAGCGTTGCCGTAGGGGACCAGGGTGAGGTCTATGATGTCTCCGTACAGCACCATGGTGGGCAAGAGCATGGTGGTGATGAAATTAATACAAGCAGGACACAGGCTCTCATAGTACAGCTCGACCTTCACTGGATCTGCTGTCTGTCGCGCCCGTGTGATGTTGGCCTCCAGACACTGCTCCAAAACCTAAACACAAAAATCAGATATTAATACTGATCGAAAATCAGATACTAATTGATATTAAATCTAGCACTCATTGGAGCAGGTATCGATGCTAAAAAAAAAACTTTCCTGAATGTCTTTAGAATGATGTTGAGCTATAGAAGAAGTAGAAGCAAGTGTCAGAGCACATAGACATGGATCAACATGAACCTACTGCACCACTGACCATTACACACATATAACACACATGGAATAGAAAAGAAAGTACTGTGATTTAATGTTGAAAATCATGTTCTATCGATGTTTTTATTATAATCTTGATATCTGAATCAGTATTGAGTAACAAGTCTGTTCCTTAATATAGAAATTGAGTTTGAAATGTATTGTGACAACCCCAGTAGGTAAAGCAGCAAATAATGTACAAATTTTAACTAAAAAAAAGTTTTTTTTAATGCATTTATTTTGGGCAAGTAAAGATTTACATTCATATTCAATGGACCATATAACATAAGTGAAATCATACTAGAAATGAAAATAACAACAAAAAATTACTATTATTTTTATTATTTTGCCCAAAAAGGAGTGGGAAGAAGAACATTTATTTAATCCCACCCCTACTCTTCATAATCTAACACAATGAGCTTCTTTTGTGTTTTTCTGACATTTTGAGGTTGAAATATGGTGACTATAGTGTAAAGAGTCTTAGGTATACATGCAGCCTACATGCAGCTAGCACTCATGCCTCACAGCAAGAAGGTTCTGGGTTCGATCCTCGGGTCGCCTGGGCCTTTCTGTGTGGAGTTTGCATGTTTCTCCCCATGTCTGGATGGGTTTCCTCCCCATCAACCCAAAACATGCTACATAGGTCTCCATAAAACAGTTGACTGGTGGTGGAGGGACTGATGGTGCCGAGTGACATGGCAGCTGCGCCTCTGTCAGTGTGCCCCAGGGCAGCTGTGGCTACAATAGTAGCTTACCATCACCAGGTATAGAGTGAATGAATAATGCTGTGTAAAGTGTCTTTGGGGACAGAAAATGTCTGTGAAAGCGCTATATAAATAAAGACTTACTTACTATGTAACTTGGTTGGGGGACCGTCACCTGCTTGTTTCTATGGATATGTCACTGATGTGTCTGGAATGTTCCACAATATGACATTAAACAGCTCTACTTTACATTTATTCAATTACAGGCGGTTTTATATCTCAAAAATACCAAGAAAAAAGGCATTCTGTCTGTGAGCTGGGTCGCCTCTCCACAGATCTGACCTGTAACTTGACCTGGTTTGGTCTCCATGAACATAGAAAGGTTTAATACCATATTGTGGAACATTTCAGACAAAGAAATAACATCTCCATGGAGAAAAGCGTTTGACAGACGTTCCACCAGAAAAGTTACACAAAGCACATTGAAATGTCTACTGTTTCTGTTCTATTTATCCACAAGAATAAAGTATTTAAGACTCAAAAAGAATACAGTACTTTCACTTTGTAATTATGCCAAAAAGATTGAAATATGACCTGACAAACTGACACAAGAATCACATTTCAGAACATGTTTATATACATCTAAACTACAGTTACGCACTTTTATGCAGAATAAGAGTGCAGATTTTGTTGTTTGTGGAGGAAATGATGTTACTTTATTAACCTTAATAAACACCCCCGATATATTTTTGTACATCACAAGTTTTATTTTTTGCGTAACTTGGACAAATGGCATAAAAACTTTGCAAATGGCATAAAGTCTGCAGGCCTGCACAACGGATTGTGAAGACCTCGTACTAGTTTTGATTTTGACTCTGCCTAGCAACAAGTGACGGCTGAAATGTGATTGGTCAAATGCTTTAATATGTAAATCCATGTGTGGAAGCAGCACAAGCTTCAGAAAAACTCTGAAAGGAAGTGGAAAATATAATTAACATCAGTCTGGGTTTCAGATATTTTTTTAGGCTAATAGAGAAGGACTTGGAGACCCTGACGCCCCATCACTGTGTGAATAAAACAAAATACAACTCCAGGTGTTTTTGGGACGAGGAAACTACATTATAGCATCGATCAGAAAATAGTGTAATATGGGCCCTTAAATAAATAAACACATTTTTCACCACTGCAATTAACCCAAAGAGAACTCCATTTATAACACGAGTCAGTACAGTCACAGTCACATTTTCTTTGTGCTTTGGTCGTTTTAAGCAGCTTTTCTGCATTTTACTTAAACACGTCACAATGAATGCCTCTCTTTACTGCTGGGAGGGATCAGATTAGTTAAAAAAATAAGGACACTTGGGACATTTCTTGTATAAAACTGGGACAAATCACTGGTTTTGTATAAATCTGCTGAAACAGGAGACACAGGCTCAAAACTGGGACTGTCCCGGGTAAATAGGGACGTCTGGACACTCTAACGTAAATTAAAGTAAAGAAAAATCTGATCGAGCCCCATCACGCACTCACCCCACAGCGGACCGCAGCCTGCAGAGAGGAGCACCAGGTGAACGGGGAGTGGGCGCACAGACGCTCTCCTCTGCCCGCCTCAAAGTTCCCCCACACGGCCACAAAGAGCAGCAGCAGCGCCTTCATCTCGTCTCCGGCTCCGTGTGCACAGATGGTATAGACAGATAAGTTAGCAGCGACTGTAATAGTTTCTAAAGTAGTGATAACACGCGTGAAACGTGGGCAACGTTTAATAGAGCGCCGCTGCTTCCTTGTCGAAGCTGTGCGCGTTCTGTTTGGCTGCGCGTCACATGTTCACCGTGCGTCATCTGCATCCAGGAGGAAAAATCACGAGGTCAAAAAGATGAGGAGGCAAAAAATAAGACTAAACTTCATGAGCTGTGTGTGCGTGCGTGAGTCCAGGACTTTGTGCACGTGATATATATATATATATATATATATATATATATATATATTCTAATGGTACAATGTGTTTGCTCATTGTGTCAGAAGTCTAATGGATGATTAGAAAACCCTTGTGCAGTCATGTTAGGACAGTTGAAAACAGTTTAGCTGGTTAGAGAAGCTATAAAACGGACCTTCCTTTGAGCAGGTTGAGTATCTGGAGCATCACATTTGTGGGGTCAATTAAACGCTCAAAATGGCCAGAAAAAGAAAACTGGATGTGAAACTGGACAGTCTATTCTTGTTCATAAAAATGAAGGCTATTCCATGCGAGAAACTGCCAAGAAACTGAAGATTTCTTATAACTTTACGTACCACTCGGTTCAGAGAACAGCACAAACAGGCTTTGACCAGAGTAAAAAGAGAAGTGGGAGGCCCCGCCACACAACTGAGCACGAAGATAAGTACATTAGAGTCTGTAGTTTTAGAAATAGACGCCTCACAGGTCCTCAACTGGCAGCTTCATTAAATAGTACCTGCAAAATGCCAGTGTCAACACCTACAGTGAAGAGGCGACTCCAGGATGCTGGACTTCAGGGCAGAGGGGCAAAGAAAAAGCCATATCTGAGACTAGCCAATAAAAGAAAAAAAAGATTAATATGGGTAAAAGAACACAGACATTGGACGGAGAGATTGGAATAAAGTGTTATGGGTGAACAAATCAAAGTCTGAGGTGTTTGGATCACACAGAAGAACATATGTGAGACGCAGAACAACTGAAAAGATGCTGGTGCCTGACTCCATCTGTCAAACATGGTGGGGGTAATGTGATGGTCTGGGGTTACTTTGGTGCTGGTAAGGGGGGGAGATTTGTTCAGGGTAAAAGGGATTTTGAATAAGGAAGGGTATCACTCCATTTTGCAATGCCATACCCTGTGAACAGAGCTTGATTGGAGCCAATTTCATCCTACAACAGGACAATGTCCAAAACACACCTCCAAATTGTGCAAGAACTATTTAGAGAAGAAGCAGGCAGCTTGTATTCTATCTGTAGTGGAGTGGCCAGCGCAGTCTCCAGATCTAAACCCTATTGAGCTGTTGTGAGAGCAGCTTGACCGTACGGTACACAAGAAGTGCCCATCCAGCCAATCCATCTTGTGGGAGGTGCTTCTAGAAGCGTGGAGTGAAATTTCCCCAAATTACCTCAACAAATTAACAGCTAGAATGTCAAAGGTCTGCAGTGCTGTAATTGCTGCAAATGGAGGATTCTTTGACAAAAGCAAAGATTGAAGGGGAAAAAATATTATTTCAAATATAAATCATTATTTTCTAACCTTGTCAATGTCTTGACTATATTTTATATTCATTTTACAACTCATGGAGGTAAATATGTGTGACTTTTCATGGAAAACACAAAATTGTCTGGGTGACCCCAAACCTTTGAACAGTACTGTATATATACAAAAAAAAACTTCATACAGCTCCTTTAAAATAAGCAGTTGAAACAGAGTTTAGGGTTTTTCTTTCGATATCTATTTCTATTTTCTTAGGAAATGAGCGTACCACTGGCAATGGCATCTGCTTCTTCCTCATTCACTCTCAGTGTTAAAACAGCTTGCACAAGTGTCCATCAAATGTGGCATATACCAAGGAGACTCACTGTCCCCACTACTGTTCTGCATAGGTCTGAACCCCCTCAGCCAAATCATTGACCGCACTGGCTATGGATACCGACTCAGAAATGGGGCCACCATCAGTCACCTCCTCTACATGGATGTCATCAAGCTGTACACTAAGAGTGAGCGAGACATCGACTCACTGATCCACACCACAAGGATCTACAGTACAGACATTGGGATGTCATTCGGGCTTGAGAAATGTAGCAGGATGGTGACAAAGAGAGGGAAGGTAGTCCACACAGAGGGGGTCTCACTGCCAGAGGGAACAATAGCAGATGTTGAGGACAGTTACAAGTACCTTGGTATCCCACAAGCAAATGGCAACCTCGAAGAGGCAACAAGGAAAGAGGCTACGGCCAAATACCTGCAAAGAGTGAGGCAAGTCCTAAGAAGCAGCTCAATGGCAAGAACAAAGCGCAGGCAATCAACAGCTACGCCCTGCCAGTGATCAGATACCCTGCAAGAATCATAAGCTGGCCAAAGGAGGAGATACAGACCACAGATGTTAAGACTGGAAAGCTCCTGATCATGCATGGAGGGTTCCATCCCAAATCCAGCACCCTGAGACTGTACGCAGGCCGGAAGGAAAGAGGCCGAGGACTAGTGAGTGTGGGAACCACTGTCCAGGACGAAACATCCAAGCTCCTTGAGTACATCAAGGACAAGTAGTGGGTCTGCTCTGGTGTTATTACCCTGCCACTGAGCGTACACTTTCGCCGGTTGTGTTGCGAACAGCCGGTTTATTCGTCTGGCCTCGTTATCTCGTGTGTACCTCTTTAGGCGGCTGGCCAAGGCTTGGAGCCTTTGTTTGGCAGTTTCGAGTGCTTCAGGTATGGGCAACTGGTTGTACCTCTTGGGCACTTGCTTTTTCATTGCACCTTGGCTCACTTCTCTCTGCGCCTCGTTGATTTTAGCCTCTAATTGTCTTTTCCGTGGTGGGTATCGTATCTCATTGCTCCCATGGTTGCTCTTATAGCCCAACACATCTAGGATCACTGCTGCTGAAGTGTATATCAGCTCATTGGTTTCAGTGATTGTTGTGGTAGGGATCGCTCTCAATGCTGCATTCACATCGTCTCGGAGATTTTCAGATGGTACACATATATATATTTATTTATTTTTTTAGTGTCATTTTAACACTGAGAGTGAATGAGGAAGAAGCAGATTCCATTGAAAGTCACGGTGGTACGCTCATTTCCCAAGAAAATAGAAATGGATATCGAAAGAAAAACCCTAAACTCTGTTTCGACTGCTTCTTTTAAAGGTGCTATATTAAGCTTTTTTGGTGAACAGCTTTTTTTGTGGCCAGCCTGTCTCCTGTGTTTTGTTTAGAATAATGTTTCAGTGTTGCATTGCACTTCTTCATTTTGCATCTATTAATTTTCTTATTATTTTATTGTGAACGGGACTATTTTACGCAGAATTGACTCTTGTGATCTTTAAGCCCCGTTAGAATGTTGTTACTTCATCAAAAACACACCTGAGTTGTGTTTTGTTTCATTCACACATGTTTGAGTAATACTTTATTATAAGTCTGTCTACAGCTCCAAAGATCAGATTGTTTTCAAGTGAACAGCTCCTTTTATCTTTAGTTCAACAGAGATCAGCAATCCCAGGTCTGGAATTATCCAAATGATTCTACTGAAGGTGTGTGGAGCACTTCCTGTTTTACCACATGACATCACAAGGTGGAACAGAGTGTTTTTTTCTGACTGAGAAAAGAACTCATCTTAAATCTGCAGGGTCAACACAAATCCAGTGTGTTTGTGATGCGGTAACAACACTTTAATGTAGATCAGAAAATCATGTAATATGAGCCCTTTAAATACTTTGAAAACATACATTCTACTTGAAACAGCATCACTCTCATCCTCCACAGACCTGATGTGTAACTGGTGTCTGTAAATTTGACATGAAAATCAATCAATATGAGGAAAATATGTTGTCATGTAGTTCAGCTCTAATTTGAGTATTTCACAAAATACTCAAACTTAAAAAACAAACTTAAAAAAAACTCTTAATTATGCATGTGTCTGGTCAGGTGTTGCTTCAGTCCAACTCAGGATGATTATGCACCTGCTGACTCTCACATGACTGTCCTCCACTGTAAGAGACTGAATCACTCGCTCACTTTATATACACACACTCCTCACAAGTCATAATAAGCAGTAGTCACAGTAGTACTGTAGTAGTAGTAGCAGTATTAGTAGTAGCAGCTATTAATGTTGTCACAACAGTAACATTTCAAACTCAAATAGTGATTCAGATTCACATTTCTTTGATAGGTTCATGTTGGTCCGTGTGTGTGTAGTGTGTACACTAGTCTATGTGCTTTTCTACTTGTTCTGATACAGCTCAACATCATTCTGTGTGACTTTTTTAGTATCGATACCTATATCAATATTGAGTACTTTGTTTCAATACTAGTTTTTGCATTGATTAGTATCTGATTTTCGACAACGTTTGACAACACTATAGAATAGACCTGGGTGTTGTTCAGCTTCAGGGCCACATACGGCCCTTTAACTGACTCTGACTCGGCTCATCCATCCATCCATGTTCTTCCACTTATCCGGGGCCGGGTCTCTTGGGCAGCAGTCTAAGCAGGGGCTCCCAGACTTCCTACACCCCAGACATGTCCTCCAGCTCCTCCAGGGGGACACTGAGGCATTCCCAGCTGGCCTAGGAACGCCTGGGGCACCGGAACACCTCCCAAGGGAGACGCCCAGGAGGCATCTACACTTGACCCGTTAAAGCTCATTTACAAAATAAACATATTTAATACTTTTACCTCATGCGTGGACTAAAACTGCATTGCTTTTATTTTAGAGATGTTTTTAAAATAACATTTTTTGTAAGACTTTTTCATTACTTAGTCATAACATAAACTCTTACCAGCTCGTCAAAACAATACTGCAATTACTGCTTTTTAAAAAGAAATAACATTATTATGCAGATTGTACTTAAGCATTTTGGCCTCCACAGTATTTTCTGTTACTCATGTGGCCCCAAGGAAAAAAATATAAGAAGTAAGACCCATTAGCTGACATTTCAATATTGCTTTCCAAGTACATGAGCCCATGTGTACTTGGTCCATCTCTTGTAGTTTGTTGCCTTGTCAGCTACTTTGCTTTTTATTGCAAATTTTATGACAGAACAATGACATGTGCTTTAGCTTTTAGTGCACACTTTTCTGTTTAAGTTGCATTG